CCGAAGTGTAAGCAAGGTAGTTAACGACTGTTGTGCCCACTTCTACGCCCCAATGTGCTCCAAAGGCCACCCTTAACTAGCCATGAGTCCTCAAGTAAACCCGAAGCCCTGCTCATGGACTTTCCAGGACAATAAGAGCACTTCTGAATCCCTAAACCCTAAACCCCAAACCGAGAATCGAAGAAGCACACAAGCACCCTCAAGCCATGAGCCTTCCAGGAGCATTTGCGCTTCTTTCGCCATTTTCGTTTTATGCCGGAGGCCGGCCACAGGGAGGTGGCTCTCGTTTCCGAGATCTTGGTATTTCTTTCTGGATGTTTAGTTGAAGCTTCTAAGCCTTCCTTTGCGCATTCCATGCTTGGTCCATGCCGCGAAGTTTGGGCTTTTCCGGTCCTGCTTCCTTCAGGGAAAGATAAGCTTCAGCTTCAACACCCCCTAAACCCTAAACCCCTAAACCTCCTACCATCATGGACCCCAGACTTATCCTAAGCCAGGCCGCCAGTCAACAAGACCGAATAATGTAGAGGCCTCAATAATTAGAATCGGGTTTGGGGGTTCCTTATTATAACTATAGTATAACATACCCCAGAGTCCTTTTCTGATTTTTAAGGCCCCTATATGAAAGGAGTAAGAGGGATTTGGCAGAGTCCTCGGACATCTCTGGAGGCATCAAGAGGCCTCTCTTTTGCCAAAAGCGATGCCCCATTTTCAAGACCTATGGCATTTAATTACTGCTGTTTAGGGTTTAGGGTTTATAAGTTTATAGCACAATTACTGCTACAACTACGTCGGTAACGACTACGACCACCGGTACTACTACCACTGAGACTATGCAAGTACCTTTGCTTCTGCCGTCCTTTTTGTTGGGTAAAACTGCTGATGGCCCGACACGATACCCCAACCGAAACTCTGCCATCAGGCGGACCATGCCCCTTTGCAATGTGGCCTCAATAGTTGGCACATGTTAAGAGATACATTCCAAGAGAGCCACCTGTAGTTTTTTGGAACAGTAGTCCCAGATGTAGCCAGGTCCTTCAAGCCCCGTAACGAGTAAAACCAGGGGGAAGCACAAAAACGATACCCCTCATCGCTTCTGGGTGCAAGACTATGCCAACGGCGCATCTGAATCCCGAAACACCAGGCATGCCCAAGCTTTAGTCCTTACATCCTGTGGTTTATGAAGCTGAAATCTTAAAACCCAAAACAACCCCACACCTCAGCATCATGAACCGGGTGGGAAAAGAGGTTCATGAAGCAGCGGCGGAACTTCTCTCGCCGGCTGATCTCCCAGGTCGTTCCTTAAAGTGCCTTCGTTAACGAATCTGACGTTGAGCTCTTTCAGGGTTGGGGTTTAGGTAGGGCTATACTCGGAAGGTTTTAGGGTTTAGGGTTTAAGGCTTTTGAGGTTCGGCCTTACGGTCTGCGGCTACAGGTTTAGGGTTTCGGGAGCCCGGAAGGCTTGGCCCAGTAGCCCCGAAAACTTAACGCCTTTAAAGCCCAAGACCCTATAACCCGAAGCCTTGTTTGTCCGAGTGTAAGCATCAAAGACGCAAGTTTCCTTCGATGTTTAGGGTTTAGATTTTATGGTTAGGGGCTGAGGGTGTAGGCCTCAAAAACCCTTTAGGGAAATCTCTCGATGAAGGGAAGGCCCGAATGTCTTTCGGATCCAGGTACCGAATCACCGAGGGTTTAGGGTTTAGGGTTTATTCTCCCAAAGTAGGTAGATCTCTAAACGAGGGTCCCTTTCAGGGTCCTTTTTTATAAGGGTGCCGTACTATACTGGGAGCTTAACACGGGACCCTAATTTGGAGAACTACCCAAATACTAGCCCACAGAACTTGGGGTGTAGGGTTGGGGGCCGCTTTTCTCACTGCTATCCTAAACCCGGGCGCCTATTTCTATCGGGTCCTGTGGGGCCTTGGGGTTTGGGGGTTTAGGGTTTAGGGGTTTAGGGTTTAGGGTTTAGGGTTCAGTTAGGCGGCGGACGAGTGGCTACCTACCAGGCGTCGTTCTTGCAAGCCTGCAGCAAAAGGGTTCAGTTAGGGTTTAGGGTTTTTGGGTTGAGGGTTCAGTTAGGGTTTAGGGTTTAGGCCTCGTAGCCAGGTCGCGAAGCCAAAGTGCTTCGCGCGCCGTACCTGGCCATTCACATGTCACGCCCTCGGTGCGCTAAAGAGATCCCTTGAAAGTTTGGGGCTAAACCCTGACCCCCAGGTACCTACTATATAGGGTACTAGAGCCCCTAAGGCCCTATATAGTAGGTACCTGGAGGGTTAGGGTAAAGGTGTAGAGTCTGGGGTTACGTGAGCTCTTGAGGCTTATGCAATATAGAGGCCTGAGTCAACAACCTCTACAGTTCAGTCAATTTCTAAAGCGAGGGATTCGAGTTTAGGTGCAAAACGACATGTCATCCTAAGGGTATAGGGGTGTGAAGTTTAGGAGTTTTGGGTCACATCCAGGGTTTGGGAGCCTTACACCGTAAGTTCCAAGCAAGCAAGGTGCCGTTCCTTCAGCGTCTGGATTCCAAAACACACTTGCTGTAACGTCTGTCTCTTAGCTCATTTGTTTTGAGAAACTAGATGGTGCCTACAAAAAAAGGTGTCTAGCGGGATAGCACAATCCCCCAAACCTAAAAGACCCTTAATGCTGCAAACCCTAAACCCTAAACCCTAAAACCTTATTCAAACCCTATAGGGCCTAAGCCGATTGCTGAGGCGCGCACACCTTTTTCGTTGGGAGGGCCTGTCCCTCAGAGACACATTTCAGGGTCACTCTTTAAATGTTCCTCAGGGGATGTATAGGGTTTCAGAAAGGCTTTAAAGAGTTGTTATAAGTGACCGAGCTATCGGGGTCCTATATGGGTTTGGGGTTCAAGGTCTAGGGTTTTCAGCTTTGCAGAGTAGGGGCTTTGGAGGTCAGGGCTTTGGGTTTTAAGGGTACGTCGTATATAATGCTCGGATTAGGACATCCGAAGCCTGCGCTGAATTTCTGCAAAGGTTACAACCAGACTGCCACAGAGCGGATCTTTGTCAACACGGTCCGTGGCGCAATGCTTTCCATGAGGAAGCAAAGGCCCGTGGTTGTGAAGAAATGAAGCCCTAGACTCCTGGAGTTTAAGGGCTTTAGCCGGTCTCGTCGTTTATAAGTGGTTGCGTGAGACGTCTGGATGGCTTGAGTTATCCTTCTGTGGTGCACTGCATACAGTCTTGGCTCAGTTTGTACCACACCTTCCCATGCTGCTTGGAGACTTATTCGTGGTGCCACTGCCATGTCCTGCTTTCCAGATGAATTGATGCATGTGAAGTCCTTGTCGTTGTTTCGGTAGTGATGCTTCTGCATTTAATGTCATTGTAGATACGCGCGCAGTGAAATTGCCGTGTTTTTCGTCGCGGCTGACGGGTGACTGAGTCCGTGCGAGAGAGAGAGAGAGAGAGAGAGGGGTTTTGAGTTTTGGGCTTTAAGGCATCAGAGCCCAGGGAAAACACTGCAAGCTCCCGAGCATTTCCTATGTTTCGATTTCTTACATGTTTTTGAAGCTGCATCGTAAAAACCTTAGCGGCGCAGCTTGGCCCAAGCCTCCTGTGCAAGGGGTCGCGTGCCGGACGTCTTTCTGGCAACTGAGAGCATGGAGGACTGCGGAACAAAATGGTCTGGTTGTAGATTTGCGGGTGTAGGATGCACTGCTGTTCCCTGCAGTTGCTCTTGCTTGAAAACATGAGGTCTTGACATGCATTCGTCCGAGTGCTCCGAAAGGGATGGTTCTCTCAAGCTGCATTCAGAAAATGCTTCAGTTGAGAAGACACGCAGTATGTGGCAACATGCTCGGCTGGCGGTAGAGGATATCAGTCTCACTGTACATTGGTCCATTGTCCTCAGTGGAAGGTTCAGAGCTCATGAAGCACCTGGATGATATACTGCCGCTTTTTCTAGACCCGACTTCAAAGCCTGTTTGCCACATACGTTTGCGTCATTCGAACAGATGTTGAGACAAGCATCTTGTACTCCCACAATCTCCCACAAGTATTCGACCGTTTTCTGATCAACAGTTTTGGCTCCTCAGGCCAGTGTTTGTTTTTTCGAATAGTGAATAGTGGTCCAAAAAGTGGTCCATGCAGTGTTGAATCTCCGTCCGTTAGTTGTAACGTACATATTTCCTTCTTCGATACTCGTAAGTACTTGTTCTGTCGAACCTTAACAGCCCAAAACCCGAAGCCAGGATTTCAAATCCCGAAACGCTGTAAACCCTAAAACCTAAGCCGTAAGCCCTAAACCCCTGCCATGCAGGCTTGTCCTAGCCAGGTGGGAGGCAACAAAAGCCCTACACCTACAACCCTAAGCCCTAAAGTCTGCAAAGCCAGGACCCCACCAGTAAAGCCCGAAATCCGCGAGGAGAACAACTCGGTGCGTGTCAGGGAGCTCCTCGTTGATGGCTTCGGGGCACGCGTGCTGACTTCACAGGCACCATCCGGGCCTAGTAGCAGAGGATACAGCTAAGATGGAAATGGGTTTTCTAGGCCTAATCGACGAAATTGTGAAGGAAGGGCCTCTAGCAGACCCGCCCTAACCTACTAGAATCCACCTTTGTTTCTGGGTCCTGCGTTTTGGTTTTCCGGGTCTATAGATTTCTCTTCATACAAACCCAAAAAATAAAGTTCCATAACGCCCGATATACCATTGGATCCGATGCTCTATCCTAAAGCCGACGACCGCAGTATGGGTCAGGCCTGGGTGCCGGCATAGTGGCGCAGCTGGAGTGGGCTTATTGGAGTGGTGTTACGACGTGTTGCAGGCTGTGTTCATCTAGCTGTCCAGGGCCCCTAGACCCTCGTCCCAGGCAAGTGTTAACCCGAGAGTCGGTGTTGCGAGAGTGTAACTCAGAAGAACACAATCGTCAGGCCGTTGAGGTAGGCAAGACGAATCGAAGGCTTTGGGTTTCGGGTTTAGGACGACACCGCAACTCACAAGCCTGTTGAACAGCAGAGCTCGCTTTTTTCTCCGCCGCCATGGCAACACCCTCCGCGGAGTGCTTGGGACGAAGCATCGATTCGCCTTTCGATGAGGATGCAGAAGTGATTGATCTGAAAGTAGACCCGGTGCGCTCGAACAACACTGCAATTTCGGGCAACCGGGCTGCAGTGAGATTAGTGTTCAATGATGGTGACGCTGGATTTTCTTTGTCTGCTTATGTAAATCGCGATCTTGCTGGCAATGCCATGAACACCGTCGCCCCCAGCAATCACCAGAACAAACACGGAACTGTACAAGCTGACGAATGCAGCACAATAGAATGCAGAAAGGGATGCATGGATGATCCACTATGCTCGAGTCTGAATGCATGAACGCAACAGTTGAGTAGTTTGTTTGGTTTCGCTTTTCAGAAATTCAACCGTAGGAAGCTCACATCCGAAAGACAGCACCAAATGTCTCACTACAAAACTACCTGCTAAGTACTATAGGCTTACTTCACAAGCTCAACCAGCGACTTAGCATTCGTAGAGGTTCCTGGCGTCAAAATGGCTTGTCGCAGTGGCAGTCGCATTTGCAGCAGAGGAGTAGTAGTAGTAGTAGTACTAGTAGTAGTAGTAGTAGCAGTAGTAGTAGTAGGGTAGTAGTAGTAGTAGTAGTAGTAGTAGTTGTTGTTGTTGTTGTTAGTAGTAGTAGCAGCATCAGCAGCAGCAGCAGTAATATTCGTAAGCACCTGTCCCTCAGGTAAGGCAACTTAACGACA